GATGAGAACCTGATGGTGTTTAACACCGAAAAATGCAAGGTTATCCACCTTGGGAAAAAAAACTCTGCAGCATCCTTTATAGGCTTGGCAGTGCTACGCTGGCTAGCACTATGGAAGAAAGAGACTTGGGGGTCATCATTGACCACAAGATGAACATGAGCCTGCAATGCGATGCTGTGGCTAGTAAAGCGACCAAAACGCTGGCTTGCATCCATAGGTTCTTCTCAAGCAAATCCCAGGATGTCCTTCTCCCTTGTACTCAGCCTTGGTGAGGCCGCAGCTGGAGTATTGCATCCAGTTTTGGGCTCCACAATTCAAAAAAGATGTGGAGAAGCTTGAGAGAGTCCAGAGGAGAGCCATGCACATGATCAGAGGTCAGGAAAGCAGACCTTACGATGACAGGCTGAGAGCCATGGGGTCTTTAGCCTGGAAAAGTGCAGGCTCAGGGGTGATCTGGTGGCCACCTATAAGTTTATCAGGGGTGACCACCAGGATCTGGGGGAACGTTTGTTCACCGGAGCGCCTCACGGGATGATGAGGTCGAACGGTTATAAACTACTGCAAGACCGTTTCAGGCTGGACATAAGGAAGAATTTCTTTCCTGTCCGAGCCCCCATGGTCTGGAACAGCCTGCCATCGGAGGTGGTTCAAGCACATACATTGAACACCTTCAGGAGCAAATTGGATGCTTATCTTGCTGGGATCCTATGACCCCAGCTGACTTCCTGCCCTTTGGGTGGGGGCCTGGACTCGATCTTCCGAGGTCCCTTCCAGCCCTAATGTATATGAAATCTATGATATCAATATCTGAGCAGCTCTTCCCCACCCTGTCCTGCTCCCTCTTCTGAGTTTCTCTTTCCCCGCAAGCCCACTTCCAAAACACCCAAAACTGTTTCTGAAATGTTTCGGAAATGTTTTGGAGCCTTGCATTTTGTTTCGGATTTCATGTTTCAGGTGCCAAAACAGGTCGCAACACCTCCGAAGTGAAACGGCTGCCGAAATTTTGCACAGCTCTAATAAACAGTGCAGATTTGTATCTAGCCTTTATTAATATTGTCCCTTCCTCCTATTGTACAAGGATAATAGCAGCTGTCAGCAAGGGTCAAGAATTTCTCTCTAATGCTTGGTATCAAAACTAGATATTTCAAACTATACCAACTCCAAAATTTCAAAAACTTAAAATAATTTGAATACTGAGTTAAATTTACACCCTCCCCCCCAACTCTTGGGAGGCACTGAGTGTAACAATATTTTTATAGGCAAAAAAAAAAAGAATCTAGAAAATTAGTCTTGTAGCTTTTTATATCTAGTCCCTGGTTGGAATGCTTTGATTTAGGCTGCATGCACATATTCAAATGACCTGGGAGAATGCTCCTGGGTTTGTTCTTCTGGGCAAAAACTTGCTCAAAGATGCCTGAGTAGATATTAGAATGCCAAGTCCCTGAAGAGCAGAGAGCTTGCAGTGCTGATGCTGGAAAGCCAGGGTCCCCATGCACACATCTCTGCATGCTCTACTGGCTCCCTCAGTTTGCCTGGCAAGAGTTGGCAGTAGTACACAAGGCAGCCCTGATTGGCTGACTCAGACTGCTCAGAGTTAGTCTGTATGTCCCTGTAGCACAGTGTAGGACTGTGAAAGGTGCATGTTCTGCTCCCTGCTCAGCTGGAGTAGTAGAGCCCAGCCCAAGCAACACATTATCTCCATGAGTGCTTTTTGATGATCATTTATTTGATTTCCTTAACCTAGTCCTGGATTCGCATAACTGTCAGACAATATAGGAAGCATGTCACTGGCTCAAAACAAACCCATGTAAATATCTGCCACCCTCATCCAGATGGAAATAAGTTTTTTACCTGTGCTTTAGTATTGCCAGTTTATCCGTTATAGTTAAGTAACACTAGATGATTCTAAGTAACTATTTTCGGTAGAAATTGATGCTGTTAGTTCACAAAATATGGCAGCTGTATTTAAGAGACAATGTCTGTCTTGGCATGATATAGTAATATTAATGACAAACTCTTCTTGGAAGGATAGTCATTGTTTTCCAAACTTCTCCATCCCCGTAAAAAGCTACCACATCACTATGACAATAGATTTTAAACAATTGTGCTCCGGGAGTCTGAACTGTATCACCAGTTCTTAAGCCAAGTTGTTTCCCAGTTTTATTCAAAACTGTGGACTTGGTTTTATCCTCTCACTTATTATCCTCAGGAGTATACAGGCTGCCAAGGGGTCATATGTCCCTTGTTCTTAGTATTACCTTTGTCCTACCTGGAAGTGTCAAGAATGACTTCAACTCTTATCTTTCTACTGCCATCATTCTAGCAAGACCTGCTGCGCTCTGCTAATGAAGACCTTATGACTCGTATCGAAACTTTACAATCTAATGCCAAGCTTTTAGAAGCACAGATACTGGAAATGCAGAAAGCAAAAGTAAAAGTTGACAAAGAACTGGAAGCTGAAAAACTTCTAAAAGAGCAAAAGATAAAGGTAAAGGATGTGTTCTGGGACCATAAAAATTGGAACATGGAATATTTCCTGAATGAATTTAAAGAAAGGTTTTGTGAAAGGTTGCAGTGTTGTTTTTAAAATAATCCAGCTGGTTTGATTTTTGTTCTTTATAGATCAGATCAGATTAGGGTCAAAAATCCTATTTTGCCTGACTGTCCTTCTGAAGGGCTATTCTTGCTCTTGAAAAAGCTTCAACAAGGCCATCAGTTAGAGCAGAGCAGAACTTTATGGTTGTATGTTAAGTTTAATGCCTCTATACATTTTATAATCTTTATGAGTTTTATGTTGTTAGGATGGGTGTCTTTGAAATAACTCTCATCCTTGTAATATGCTGATACAGATTTTGTGTTACACACCACAAAATATAACTGTTTTTGAACTCTATATGTAATGGAGCATTTACACTAATTTTCAGGACCACAGCTGTTCTCTAAGAGAACTGGAAGAAATTCAGATGCAGCTTCAGAAGGAAAAGAAACATCTTCAGAAAACTATGCAGGAGCTAGAGCTGGCAAGGAAGGTAGGGTAACACTGCATTACGATATGTGTTTAGAGCTCCAGTTGTGATGCATGCCGAATGATAGGCCATCCCCACACTGAAGAGCTTAAAAACCATTTGAGGCAAAGGATGAGAGAGTGGAAATTTTTACCCCTTTGTAAAGATGGGGAAATACACAAATTATTACTAACCCCTTTCAATTCCGAATACTGTGAACAAAAATGGGAATTCCAAGTCTTCTGAATCCCAGTCTCATGCCTTAATGGCAAGTCTACCCTTGCTTTTTTTGATGGCCAGTCTTTTCAAAGTGATGCTCAGAAAAATTATTAAAACTCACCATAAGTTGTTTCCATTTTTTACTTTTGGCTAAGAGGTTATTGCTGGTATCTGAGGCCCCAGAGAGGCACTGCATTTCTGGCACTACAGATGCCCTTGTAGCACTACAAAAATCAAGGGGACAGATGTGCGCGTCCACTGTAGTGCTATAAAAATGGTGCCAGCACTACAGAAATGTTCCTATCTGAAAAAGAAACTTCTCTGTAGCACTGTTTTGTAGCACCACATGTGCATCTCTCTTAGTGCCCCAACATCCCACAGTGTTCTGCTCACCAGCTGCCCCCAGGGCAGCAGCTGGCTCCCTGACAGCCTGCTAGGAGTAGAGCTGGAGCCTTACTCACTGTCACAGCCCATTGCTGACCCAGGGAGGCAGCATTTCTGCCTGGGAACTAGTGTTGCTCCCCAGTGGTAGAGGGAGTTGTGGCTGCTGTAAGGATATGGCATGCCCCAGCAATGTCAGAGAAACTTGCTGCTGCTGCCCCAAAGACAGCTAGTGCCCCAGCAGCAGCTTTGTGGAGTGCCTTTGTGGCAATTTGTAATGTTCCAACTAGGAGGGTTGAATGTGTACGTTCCCCATCTCCTTCCCCATAGCACTTTATTTTCATAGCACTACAAAATGTTGTTGCACTTAGTGTACTACAATGAGTGTCTGTCCATGGCATCAAAATCTTGATTTGTGAGTACAGGTTCTAGCTGAAGGTGGCAGTAGATAAATATTAATGAACAGCGATTTCATTATTGCAGCATCCAGCAGTAAATGTGTTTGTGTGCATCTTTAAACTGGCTGAATAATCTTAAACTGTAGTTTTCTAAGCAATTCCTTAAACCTAAAACCTACAGGATGCACAGAAGAGCACACTGATGGACATGGAAATAGCTGATTATGAGCGATTTGTGAAAGAACTTAATCAAAAGATTACAGATAAAAATAGCAGAATTGAAGACCTTGAGCAAGAGATCAAAATTCAGAAGCAGAAGCAAGAAACCCTGCAGGAAGAAATAAGTGAGTAAAATTGTAATGCTTGATATTCATGTATACAGCCAGACATCTCGGATGTAAGACAGGAGAGCAAACAGCTTTTAAAACATCTTTTCTGTACTTCTTGACGTTCTCAGTAGCATCCACAGTAGGCGAGAGAGAGGCTGCCAAAAAATAGTGGGAAGATAACTTGTCAACATTCCGTTCTTATATTAAATTAGGTAGTCATGTTCATTTTCCACTTAGTGTAGTGCTTAGCAAACAATGGGGAATACCTTAGTGAGCAAACTGCACTTCTTACATAACTAACTTAAGCCTACTGCTGCTGGGTAATATTTCTGTACTCTCTTTATGAAGCTATGAGATTCAGAAGACTGCTGGTAAAATCGCATCACATGCAAGAATTAACAAATAACGATGTGTTTAAAATTTTGCCATACATTTACGTTTAGCTCATTTATCTGCAGCGATTGACCTTATGTTGACCTGCTTGTTTGCAACTCTTTTGCAAAGCTTTGATGATGTATTTTTCCCATTTTATAATAAAAGTGGCCTGTGGAATCTTTGATCCCTTCTCCTCACCTCTTTTTCTTTGCTTTAGAGTCCCTTCAGTCATCTGTGCATCAGTATGAGGAAAGGAACACCAAGATAAAACAACTGCTGGTGAAAACCAAAAAAGAACTAACAGATTCAAAACTAACTGTAAGTCATGATTTTGCTGCATATGCCACCATATTTAAATCAAATGTTTATAATCTAGTTACAAGTCTAGTTTCTCAAATTAACAAAAGATAATGTTTTTAAATTAACCTAGATATTGTTATCTTGCAGGAAAATGAACATCTGATGCTTCAAGCATCATTAAAAGGAGAGCTAGAAGCAAGTCAGCAGCAAGTGGAAGCCTATAAGGCAAGAAACTTTTTATTATTACAAGCTTTCTTACATGAGTTATGCAGCATCAGCTCTGCTATATAGCAAGAAAGACTGTGGGCTACAGAAAAGTAAACATGCTGGTACAGAGGAAAGATACCATATTTACTTGAATGTAAGATGAGGTTCCCCACCCCCCAAGTCAGCATGGGGAAAAAGGCTCCTCATCTTATTATTACATATGAAGCAGAGTGGGGAGCTCTGACTCTGGCCTTGAGGTCTGTCCCCCCCACCCACCACTTCCCCTCTGTAGCTTTGTTCCCCCCACACACACCCTTCCTTCCCCCTTATTGTCAGGCACAGCTCAGCTCAGGTTGGAGTCTCTTCTGGGCACCAAGCACATGGAAACTCCTTTTCTATTTAGCCGGTCAGCAGCACAAACACTGCTGCGTTGTCTGCCTGGCCTATCAGCAATGTCGACGCTGCTGCATGGCCAGGCAAGGGCTGAGCTTCCATAGTTGGAGTAACATTTGACAGTAAAGGAGGGGGACAGAGTCAGAGATTTGGGGAGTTATTGGGGAAGGGGCAAAGACTGGGGGGAAGTTTGGAGGGAAGAGGCAGAGATTGAGGAGCAGGGGAGAAAGAGGCTGGGAAAGATTTTGGGAGAGAGGGGCAGAGCCTATTGGGAGTTCAGGTGGGGAGTATAGGTGGAGGGGGGGATTCAATACAATACTCCAATGCTTATCTGGAAAATTATAACAGATTTATAAATTTTCCATGTATAGAATCTAATTATTGGGGGAGTTGTCTTGTATTCAGGGTCATCTTATATTCAAGTAAATACAGTAATTGATTTTTTGTTGTTCTTGGGGGTTTTTAGTTCTCACCATCTGCTTCACTTTCTCAAATACTTTATTTAATGTAATACACTAATATTTCTATGTTTAGAGAAACTTTTAGTTGATGGTCTTTAAATACCAATGTTTCTGTAGTCGGCATTTGTTTTGTTACTGTGGTTCCAAAATACATGTATTGGCTGTTGAATGGATATCATTTCATCTCTGTGTTGTTGCCTGTTCTTTGTGACTGGTGCACAAACAGAATATCTATTGTTGTTATCTGCTAAGATACTTGTTAATTCAATGGCAGAGGTAAGCATCTGAAGGGTTGTTTTTTTTTTTATAGCTGTTTTCCAAGTGTGGATACTGACATACAGAAAAATAAAATTAAATATTTGCAAAGTTTGTTTGTTTTGGGTACCGTAATGATTAAGCACCCATTTTTAGATTCCTGTGGATTGAGTACTTTTGGTAGATTTATTGATAAACTCATCTGATGAGATTTTTCCTCAAATTTCTCCTCTTCTGTTTTGAAATTGTTTTGAATTTATTCCTTAAACTCTGGTTGAATAGCTTTTTACTCCAATTTTTTATCCCTCCAGCTGGAACCCAAATTGCTCTCAGTTCAGTTGCCTGTTTTTCATCCCTCGGACACAAAAAAACCCAGGGTCTTTATGATTTGGCTTTCATCTGTCACAGTTTACTCAAAAAGTAGGACCGCTGCCATTCAACTTTAAAATACCCCTCTTTTCAGTGGGATTTACCTGGAGAGGTAAAAGGAGAATAAATTTTATTCTGGAACTTACTCTCCTTTTTCGTAACATAATTTCTCACTGTCATTATGGAGAAACTACGTAGCATATTACTAGAGACGTCAAATTATTCTTTTAGTTACCAGTTGATTTATTAGGTAGCCAATCCTGATTAAGTAATAAATGTCATAGTTCTAATTGGTAAACTCTGTCCTAGGCCTCAGTCACTCAGTTTTCAAAGCTGTCCTGAAGTCTTCCCTTCCTTTGAGCAGCCCCAGCATCTCAATGTTACCTTTGCTTGTTCAACCAAGGGAATACCTTTTGTTACAGATTTACGAATATCTCAGTGTTTCCTCTTTTCTTTGAAGTTCTAGGTTTTGCTTCATAACTATTTGAGCAAGATTATTTTTCACTTTCAGCAACCTGCAGTACAATTGATATTGTTCTCATGGAGCTGTCCAATAGAACTGTGGTCAGTGTCCCTGCTAGGAACTGTGCAGATCTTTAGAGAAAGTTTTAAGTGTAAATTGCAGATCAGTGCCTAGCATTTATCTCTGACCAGCCATTTCTCCAGCTGAAGATAATTCTTCATTTCTGTGGGAGCACCTGCATTGTGATAGTGGCGTGTCCTAAGTAGGCTGTTTCAGTACACCATTCCAGTTTGTTCCTCCAAATAGGTTGCCAGTCTGGAAGTATGCTGGTGAGGTGGCTCCCGGGGGGGCATTCATACTGACCATTCTCCAGCGCATCAGAATTTCAGGTCTTGATTGCAGTTGGAGAGAGACTGTCCCAAAGTGACCTTACCAACTTACCTCCAAGTTGAGATCCTGCCTTTAGGAGCAGAAGAGTGTTGAATGCCCATGACTGAACTGGCCATATGCACCAATGCAACAATAACAATACAGCCTTTTAAAGACATTTTGACTGTGGTTTCTAGACCCATACGTTATAGTGTTTTAATATCTAGAGATATGGCATATAGTTAAACAGTTCTAGATAGTCCTATTGGTTTACATCAAGCAGAGAAACAGAACCTAATAATCATCAGAAGCTCTCAACCCAGGAAGATGTGGATTGGTTCAGAGAGCCTTTACAAAGAAATAAAGGGTATGTCATCATCTCTGGAGTGGGTTGCTCTGAAGTAATTACCTCAGTAACTTTTAAATGAGGTATGACAGGGTACAGAGATTCCATCCTTGGTCTGGCTATGTGAACTGATAGTTTTCCCCTGCCCCTTCTTTCCCTCCCCTATCCCTAAGGGTAGGGATAAGATGGAGTGTGCTGTACCTGTCATGAGCTGGTAGGTTGAGTTAGCCCTTTATCCTAAGAGAGAACACTGCTGTTTTCATAGAGTCTCAGGAAAGGGCAGAGACAACAGAAATTAAGGGGTAGTTTTCTACTCTGTATTGTAGCAGGAAAAGTCAGCTGCTGGAAGACAGACAAGCTATGAGCTGATCCTGCATGGATTAAAGATGGGGCTCAACTTGGGAAAAGGCTGCAGGATTTTTGGAGCCTACAGAAACAGTATGAGAGCTATTGAGGAAGCAACAGGTAAACCCCTGCCACAAAACAGGGAGTTTCTGAGGCTTAGAGAATGCCAGAAAAGCCACTGAAATCGTAATAGAGTTGGAGTTTTGTTGTAGCCATGGTGGTTGAGGAAATATATGAGAAAGAAGGGGTTTTGATATCATTTGTTGAGAGACAGGAACCAGCTGTATAGTTGGGAGAGACGTTACACAAGCGTTTGGGCACACAGTGTCCTTCTTCAGATTACTTTTCAGTTGAGATGTGAAGAAGAGCTGTTTATGCCTAAAAGCTTTTAAAATATCTTTCCCAGTCATACAGTTGGTTCAATACAAATATCACCAAAAAACCCACCTTGTATCTCACATTTGAAACAATGACAGATGAGACTTGTAGGTGCTGTGGTATGGCCAGAGTGCTAAATCTCTTCCAGTATCACCCACCTGATGGAAAGATGTAGTGAAAGAGAAGATGCAATAAAGTAAAATCCTGTAGTGTCCAGCTCTTATCTAGCTTTCTAACTTTTTTTGTCTTCTCGTTGCAAAGAGGGTTAGGAAATCTGAAACCCAGGAAAAATATGCAATTTTAAAATCTACTTTTGGTACTAATTAGACTTGATTTTTAACAAAAAAGACACACTGTCAGCAGATGCCAATGTTCATTTTCATCAGTACAAATCTGAATTACCATTTTTCTGCCAGATGATAAATTTGTGGTTACAGAAAATACAGATTTCGCTTAATGATGAGTTTGGAAGGAATGTTATTCATTCTAATTTTTCTTGTACGCATATATTTTCCCCGTGTTTTAATGAACATTAAAATTAATGCTAAATGTTTTACTGCTCACATGTGCTCCAGTACGTATGCTTAGTGTGTTTCACCATGCTGTTCTAAAATCAGATTTTATGTACATTTTAGTTCTAGTTTTAATGATAGTTGTTTATTTTTAGATTCAGGTGGCTGAACTTGCATCAGAAAAACACAAGGTCCAGGAACATCTGCGGACGTCCGTAGAGCAACATCAACGAATGCTGAGCACTTATCAGCAGAAAATTACTACCTTACAAGAAGAATGCAGTACAGCAAAGGTATTTTTTCACAACAAAAATAATAAGTCAGATGAGTTAGGAGAGAAATTTACTTACCTTGCAGCTCTGTCCCTCAATATTTTATCATTGAGCAGGATTCTAACTCCTGGGTCTTGGCGCTTTGGCAGATGACTGGCAGGAATTCCCCTTTCTTGTAATGTGATTACCCTGGTCCTTCCGAAAAGATCAGAGTGCAAACCAGGCTTGGTTCTGGTTGTCAGCACCACAATCTATGGAATATAAATGTTGCTGTCCGAACACTCCAGTTGGTGCCTTTCACTGCGCTGGAGGTGAAGCTCCCTGAAAGAAAAGTCACTTCAAGTTGATCAACTAGCATGCTCTTGAAGGAGAACGAAAGACAGGAAAATAGCCTCTCAAGCCACGACATCCAACATCTGAAACAGGCAAGGAGGGTGTGAGTGAGTGTCCTACAAGGTGATATCTTCAAGAAAAGCAAATTTTACAAATTGAATATGCTGCATTTTTCTGAAGGTATCATTTGTGCAGGATTTTCTGGATACCAAACAAAAACTAGCAAGACAGGTGCTAACTTTGTGAAAAAACTGTGTGAAGAGGTACATGTTAATAGCACATAGCAGGGGTAGGCAACCCTCTGGCATGTGTGCCAGAGCGTGGCACATGAAGGCATTTTGCTTGCCATGTATGCCTCTGAGCACTCAGCAGGGGAGCTGCAGGGGCTGATCCTTGTTGTGGCAGTGCAGCCTCAGTTCCTTTCCTGCTGTCTGCTCCGAGTTGCTCCTGTACCTGCCACCAGCAGCTAGCCAGGCAGGGGCTCCAGGGACCCTGGTGCAGCTGCTTGCAGCCTACTCACTGCCTGCTGCAAGCAGCTTGGCCTCCGTGGAGGGCAGCAGGAGCCTGTCCAGAGCCTGGGCCAGCTGTAGCAGGCAGCTGGGAGGCTGCAAGCAGCTGCCAAAGGCTTGTTGCTGGTGGCAGATGCTCACATCCTCAGAGTGGATAGCAGGGAAAGGGCCGGGGCTGCACTGCCACAACAAGGATCAAGCCCCTTGCGGCTCCCCTGCTGTCCGCCCCTTGTATGCCAACATCTTACAAGTCACGGTTGCGAGTGTTTTTGGCACTCTGCCCAAAATGGTTGCCATCCTTTCATGTGTAGCGTAAAAGCAAAGAGGCATTTGATTCTTTTTGCAGTATAAAATTAGTCAGATGAAAGTAAAAAGGACTTTCTTGAAAGAAACGGCTACAGCAGGATTACAGAGAATTATCTTCTCTCCCTTGGTAATCAGTTCTGGAGTAGTACGCTCCAAAACTGTATTTCTTGCATTTTAGGAAACTAAACCAAGCAATAATACTGTGTAGATTTATGGCAGGCAGTTCAAGTAGAATCTTTTGAAATAGAAACATCTATTCCAGATGTGATAGTAGCCTTGCTTCTAATCAAAAGATTGTTGACATAGCCTTCTCGTTTCAGGCTAATGACATGGAATGCAATAAGATACACATTTAGACACCATCCTCGTCAATATTCTGCCAACTGTTTTTAAAAAAAAAAAAAGTAATTGAGTGGTGCTTGCAAAGATATTATTCAGTTTCAGGTGGAATCCTCAAAGTTATTTGATAATGATAGGCCTGTTAAGGTGGAACACTGACATCACTTTGGAGAAGCATCTTGGTGGCTTCCTAAGTTTTACCTTATCTTTACTAAATAAATAATTTTTAAGTGTTATTCACTGGGACTGAAGCTTAGTCACCCAGCAAAATTTAATCATTACCATCTGGAAAATGACCTTCAGCCTGAAAAATGTAAGTTCACAAGAATGGCATGATGAAGTCTTTTTTTGAAGTATCCTTGTCAGGTCAACATTAACATTCCATTGTACAAGTGACTTATTAATTGGAGGTTTCAGAAATGTCCGAATGCATGAAACTGACAGGGAGCTGGATATATGCCATTCTATCTTTGATTAGTTTGTGATGGTTTAAAAAAGATGCCAGATATTCCTGAAAGTGAGTGAGTTTTTTACTTTCACCTGCCTAGGTCTAGTAAAGCAATTTCTGTGTAGAAGGAGTAATGGAATTCATATGGACCTTATTACATCAGGTTTAAAGCTGTAGATCCTGCTGGTAGATGACTGATTCATTAGCAGCTTGAATGAACTTTCCCAACAGCTAGACAGGTCATCAGGGAGAAGTCTCATGAAGCCAGTCCTACAGGAGTGTAACTGGTTTGCCTCTAGAAGGATTTGGAATTTTGTATGTGCCACATTTCTTTGGTGTGAGAGTCTAAGGATGTTACCCTTCCACATCTCTACATGTTATGGGTAATTGCATCATGGCACTGCAGTAAGCCATCCTGGATAAAAAGCTACACTAACATGGTTCACTGCTGTGTGGCTTTGTTGGATGCCATATGTGCAAAAAATGGACATTGAGGAATGGCCAACGGAAAAGGAAAGCCAATATGAAAGATAAGCCACTAAGAAATTTGCTGCAGAAACAGCAGAGAAAATAAAGATGCATCAAGTGTCCCTCAGACAGTCTTTTAAATACTGTGAGGCTGAAGTACTCTTAACTCATGTTATCCACTGGAGGGAAACATAAAGAATTGGTAAAAGATATTGGTATATTCCAGGAGCCAGAAATCCTGGAGGAATGTCTGATGATGTACAGTCTGGTGCAAGTTGGTCCAGCCCCAGAGACTCATGAAGCTAGTAGAATTCTGGAACTCTGGAGGGACATTCCCACTGACTTTGGCACCTAATCTGTGGAGGGCTTGGTTGATTTATGGAATAGCACACCTGACGTCTGCCAAAGACACAGTGGCACACAGGCATCTACTCCTCCTGTGGCACTGGTGGCATAGTTCTCCCCAGTATCTAGGGGAGTTGATGCAGCTGAAGTGGTAGGACACAACTGGGTCTCATCCCATGCTGAATCCAACTAATTGTGGCATAGATCCTTCTTGAAGGACATGGCATGGCAGTTCTGGAAAAAAAAGTCTTTTAATCTCTACTGCCATTGCATCTGCAAAGTTCCCTCCGGTAGAACTGGTCTTGGTGGTGAATGGTATAGTTAATGCAGGTGTTCACCACCTGCAAATAGTCTTTTATAGTCTGCTGAGACAAGTTTGCCATCTACTTTGCAGACAAAATCTCCCTTATTCAGTACAGCTTGGGCACCACTACTTTTTCCTGCAGAGTCAGAATTCAGGGTTGGGATCTGTCTTGTCCAGTTTATATGGATTGGTTCCAACTGGTGTCACCATCTGATGCAAAGTATGTGCTCAGGGGATGCAGGTGACCAGCGGTGAACTGGACCCATGTCTGTGCTGGCTTGCACAAGTCTGTTGAGGGAACTGGGGCTGCTGCTAGAAGGGCCTGTGAGTGCTTCCTTTCTTCAGGAGGTCAGGTTACCAGATATTCTTAAGTCTGCAGTTGTCTGGCCCTAACCCTAGAAATTGTTGCTTGATACCTTCACCCTGTCTCCAATCTATCCTTTTTTGAGGAAGGTCATTGAACCTTCAGGAAGGTCCAGCAGCTTCAGACACATCTGGATGTTATTCCTAGACCCCTCAGTCTGGCTTTCACCCCAAATATAGCAGAGACTGCGCCTGTGGCATTGGTTGATGCACTTCACTTAGATATTGATGGGAAATTGTACCCTGCTGCTCTTGCTAGATCTTTCAGTGGCTTTTGGTACAGTTGTCTGTGAGGTGATGATGATGGTTCCATGACCTAGTGAGCATTTATGGTACCCTGTTAATCGGTTCTGCTCTTTCCTAGCAGGAAAGTCTTAGAGGGTGGTTATAGGTGAGAGCTTGTTGTTCCCTAGGATTCCATCCTACTGGTCAACATCTATATGAAGCTGCTGAGTAAAATTATGCAGAGATATGGAGCAAGGTGCCATCAGTATGCTGATGACACACAGCTCTATCTTTCTCTTTTGACCTGGACTCCGCAGTCTGTGTCCTTTTCCAGTGTCTGACTACATTTGGAGATTGGATGCAGGTGAACCAATTGAAGCTGAATCCAGAGGTGATTTTATGGTGGGCAGTCTACATGGCTGGGGGAGTGGCAGGTGGAATTGCTACGTTCTCTTAGTTGAGGCTTTCTTAACCAAAATTTTATTAAATTTAGCTTCCCCTTGTCCTTCAGTTTCTCAGCCTTGGGGTGGAATGAGATCCTGTGCTGTACCTGGATCATCAAGTGGTAGCAGCAGCCAGGAGTGCCTTTCACCAGCTTCATCTGGAGAGAAGGCTACAACCCTTTCTTTCTAATTTGGCCACAGTCACCCGTGCCTTCATAATCTTGAAGCTAGACTACTACAGTGTAGGGCTGCAGTTGATGACTGGAAGCTGCAGCTGGTACAGAACGCAGCAGCTCACCATTTGACTGGGGTTGAACATAACTGGTGCTTCAGTGGCTTGCCAGGCAAAATTCAAGGTGATGATTTGACTTACAAGGCCTTAAGTAGTCTGAAGACTACATGCCTAAAGGGGAACACCTTGTCTTTTATGCCCTTTGTGATCCCTGAGGTTAGCCAAGAGCCACGTCCTGTGCAGAGCATGAATCCATCAAGTTTGCTTAGCAGAAACATGTGGGAGGTCATCTGTGTAGTCCCTCATTTCTGGAACTTCTTCCCCCTTGAGGCTCATCAGAGCCTGAGTTTGGACATCTTTTAGAAATGGTGCAAGACCTTCCTGTTTGATGAGGGATTTAGTAGACGAAGCAAAACTGGGGTATTGTGTTTGGTGTGGGTGCTCTGAAGGTTACCTTAATAATCTACTGGCTACAGAACAAAATAAATTATTTTGTTTCTCCCATTTTTGTCTCTTGTTCACTTATAAAGTAAATTATTTTGCTCTCATCTGTAAGCTGCCCTGAGCCTTTGTCAGGAAAGGCAGCCTACAAGTGTAATATGTAATAAATAATCAAATAAATACTTCTTCCACAAAAGCTTCACCACCAGCTGCAGTTAAGGAGAGACTGACTGGAATGCTCAAAGCATTTGTACTCGGCAGAGGATGGTGTGTCACATGCACTAAAGGGACCTGTGCTGCCATCAAGAGATTTAAAAATATTAGATTAAATTTCCATAGTTGCAGGCTTCTGCTAGGACCTGTGAATGAAAATCTTACTCACGTGGTATCTTAAGAGAAAGAACATGTACAACACTAAGCACTGGATAAGCGGTGCTTGTCAGATTAGTGATTTTTTTTTTTCCTGCTGCATGATGCATGAAGATGAAGCTACCTTGTTAAATTTTATCAACAAAAATTGAATGCCTTTGTTAAGTGACTGTAATAGAAAAATGACAAAACAAAGTGTACCTTTACAAAGACAAAAATATGTATTTTTCTCTTTTATTAAAAACAAAACATTGGCATAATTGAAGATAAAAGTCTGCTATACTGAAAGAATGACTAACTTGAAAGCTATGTGTTAAGAATGAAAAAAAAAAAGTCTGTGTTACATCCATATTTGCCTGCTTTGAGCTTGCTATTTTTAATAATTCAGATTTTTAAAGGACTTTGATTATAACTGTTTGTAGTACTTGGCCTCTTGAAGGCTCATATCAAATGTAGGATCTGTTCTTATTAGTTTAATTAGCTGTAATTGTAGGAATCTGACAGAATTGTGCATTTGTAAGCTATCTGACAAACTGTTGTGACTAACCTTAATACCTTCTTTGTACCAAAAGGTTTTTGCCTACCAGTTATAAAATATTACATTCTAAGTGAACCAGCTCTCACATGATGTATTAGTCATTTTAATTCCCTATCCAGCAAAACAAAAAAGAAATGCAATGAGTACTTTACTATTTTTTGATCTATAATGTAAGATGCATATAAATCCAAAAGCCAGAGATACTTGGTTTTAGAACAGTAAGTGGATATTAGTCAATTCCATAATTATGTAGGGTTTACTTTTTTACATTATAGGCAGAACTTGCTGCTGTTACTTCTGAATTTGAAAGTTACAAAGTCCGTGTTCATAACGTTTTAAAGCAACAAAAGAATAAATCTGCTTCTCAAACTGAAACTGAGGGAGCCAAGCAAGAAAGGTAAATATTTATATTTATTAATTCTCCCTAATCAAAAATTAGTCAAATCAAACAAGTGGCACTTCTAGTATATTACACTTCTGTCTTATGCTTGCTTATATAAAAGGGTAGGGGTTTGGAAGTCTTCTCTAGTCTACTGCATTTTTTAGTAGAAATATTTATCTTTGTAAGGATTCTTGTTTAGCTTTTTTGAGAACCATCTTACTTTGGCCTTAGAATGTTTTAATTAAGGGTTAACAGTTTACCCAGACAAAACCAAAAGGATGCAGTTAACTTCTGTATCCCATTTCAGTCCAAATATTTTTACTGCTTTGAGTGTTAAAAGTAAGATCTAAGAGCACGCTTTGAAGACAGGAATCTTTATGCTTAAGTTGCATCCATCATATGAAGAACTCCAAGTTGCTACAGTAATATAAATGATGATATAATGTTGGCAAGGTTATTTTGTTTGTATAGGGTCTTTCATATGACGAAAAATCATTAGAAAGGAAGGCAGAATGGAAATAACAGCGTGATTGTCAGGAAAATTCAAGGGCTGGTCTAAAATCTGAATCCAAATCTCTTTGTGTTTCATGTTGCTCCTTTTGGAAAGCTAGAGTTAGGGCTCGTAGCGAAGACACTCAGCAGAACAGCACGCATGTGTGTGTTGGGGGTGGAGGGTATACAACTTTTAAGGCTTGTTTTTCTGAGTTTTAAGACCCCAACCATATGTGCAGATAGAGGTGCAGTGGGATCTGAAGCATGATCCATGCAGTCATACTTCCTGCCATGCCACAAATGGATGTGCGTGTTGTTTGACTAAGGTTACAGTATTCTAACTGAGGTCTTTTAGCATGTCTTTCCTGTCGTTTAGGCTAGGGACAGAAGTTATACACAAACCCATTTAAGTGATCGCTCAGAAATTGGTTCAAATCTGTAACACAGCAGAAGTTCAGTGCACTTAAACCACTTTCAAAATGGCTGAAACTGGTTTAAAATAAACCTGGTTAGATGTAGTATCACACCAGACTGATTTAGGACAAACTGGTTTATGGAACCCCTTCCCAGTTCCAGTTAACTCACAGTCTTCCAGCATCCCAGGATGCTTTACAGCCCTCAGCTGTACTGTCTGCTCTAGTGGCGCGGGGTTCGCTCTACCCCTCTACTCCCAGAGCACTATCACTGTTCCAGGCCGAGCCACACCTGGGTCAGGTAAGCATGCTGGGGTTGGGAGGATTCAAACCCCTCCCCCACCCACATGGGGCCCCAGCCAGGGTTTAAACCACCTCCCCCATCATACTCAGCAGGCCAGATGGGGCCTGGTCATGCCTCCCTCCAGAGCTGACCCGACCAGGGTGTGGGGACTGGGGCAAGTCAGCCCATGTGGGGCCCTGCCCCTGCTCCAATCTGGGCTCTGGACCTGGAGAAGCTGCTGCCACCTATGGTGGGGTGGGTAGTGAGCAGCTGGATGTGGAGCCATTGCTCTGTACTGCCGCTGCTCCGCCCCTGCCCCGGTCTGCAGGGTCCCCCAAAGTGTGGGGCCCAGGGTGATTGCCCTGATTTGCAC